TAAGAAAGCACAGACCCAAATGGCACAGGGCCAAATTTAGAGTCCACCAAATTAAGGCCCTCAAGCCCGTGCAGCAATTTGCAAATCCCTGGTTGTGGACGGATGTCTTTCAGTTTCTCAGCACTGGCCATGACGTGAGGATCCGGAATAGGCCCTGGCATGAAAGTGAGATATGTCAAGTTTAGATTTCATTAAATGCCACCTTATCTTTTTCACTAAAAAAGACAACCACACTCATCCAGTCTCGTACATGCTTCTAATACAAATAAAAAAATATCCACTGAAAGTCTATATAAAAAGTAACAAATAATAATCACTTTTATGTTTGTATTATTTTAGAAATGCACTAAAGTCTTTGTGCTCTAGTACAGGCGGGGGCTCATTCAGACTCACCATCATAGGCTCGGTACAGTGTGCACTTCACACCAGCTCTGACACTTGTTTTTTTCTTAGCCGCTGGTTTACACACCGCCATATCATTGGTGGCCTCTGGTACAATTCCCTGTGATATAATAATGATGAACAATACATTGTCAAAAGTCAATACAAACTGCAAAGTTCTGCATCAGTGTAACAAATAATGTCTGACCTGTGTCCTAGGCCGGTGCCAGGTCTGCAGTGCGCTGGTGCATGACAGAGGCAATGGCACTGTCTTAAAGCCCATGGTAACATAGTGAGCACTTTGAAAAAGAAGTGCTACTATGTGATTACATAGTGCTTTCCCAGCAGAGCAGGAACATGACATGTGATTGAGTACCACAGGAACCTCTGCAGAGTCTAGTGTAACCTGTTCATAGAGACATAACAATTAGTGCTGTACTTACAAAACATTTTTTCTGCGTTTCATTATAAACTACTGTACACAATTTTCAAAACCCAATTTCTTTTTTTAATTAAGAAAAATTGGCTGTTCTGAAACCTTTGACAAGTAGTGCCAACACTTATCGAAAATTTGAACATTTTGAGTTATCACAGAATCTTTCCCAGTCTTTATTGCCGTCAACAACCCACATCGGTTTATAAGAATTTCGTTGTGTATTAAGTTTAATGATACAAAATCAGAGCTCAGACTGAGAAACAAACTGATCCACAGTGGAACTTTGTGGAATCATTCTTATTAAATCTGCAACCGCAGCAAAACACAACAAAAAGAAAACTTATCTATCTTAACCTATCTTATCATAATGTTAGAGAACTGTTTATCTGAGAAACCTGAAGCCGATGAGCCTCCTCATTTTTCTTCATGGACCTGTAACATCGCCCTCTCACTGTCACCTCACCGTTAACTACACTTGAGACTGTTTCAATACAGTGATTGGGAGAAAGGGCGCAGCATTAGCCATTAATACATTACTGACTCTTATCTTACGGTCGATACAAACAGCAGTAATATTAAAAAGAGGCTGCAAAACAGAAACTCGTCAGCTCATAACCTTCGCTAGCATAGGGCTAATTTAAGCTAAATAAAGATAAACACGTACCTTCATAATCAAACAGGTAACCTTCAACGAAGAACTTGTAGCCTTTATCAAGCTTCGATCTTGAAGTAAGGGACCACTTGTCAGCAAGTCGTTCTACGTCGTTAAGTCGTATTGGTGGCAGATGTGAAAGGGACTGGGTGAACTCCATAATGATGTGCTACTAGCTAAGCGTTCCTAAGCGACACCGGATGTAAACATAACCTGCATCGCGGCAGAACGGAAGTTGTCTGACGTCACGTGAAAAGGGCCTATTGGGGAGAACATCCGATGGGTCCTGCCAGGAAGCTAATCCTGAACACGGATGCAGTACCATCCTTGACAGTGGATCAGTGGATCTTGCAAACGCTGACCATAATAAGTGTCAGTTTGATGAGTCTGACACTGTGGCTGTAACTGTGGCTGTTTTGACTTCTGAATGCTATATTTTCTGTAACACACCTGATAGTCACTATGTTTTTGTTCTTCCATCCCTAAAGGACTGCATGGTCATTCCGACGTCTGCATTGGCCATGCAGTATTTAAGTTGATATGGCCTCTGCAGAAGTCAGGGCATTCATACTTTTTGCGCAGCGCAGAGCTGTTGTCAAGGAAGTGAGTTTGTGTTTATACAGGACCTCCCTCCCCCATCTATCGTCAACCAATCATGTCAATGCGGAGCTATACGGAGCCCTCCCGCATTGTTACAAAATTTGGGAGGCACACGGCGATGAGGTCCACAGCAAAAATGTGCCTCTGCATGCCTCTGGAGGCTCCGCAATAGCGTCACACCCCCCATACGGAGCCTTCGACCAAAATAGCGGATCAAGCATAAATTGGCTTTAAGCTCCCTATGTCGAACTGCCAGCACACAGCTGACATGAAGGAATGTCGTCCACAAAAGGAGTTGCGGTGTGTATTGTATTTGTAATTTACCCCAGAAAATCATATTCTGCCATTGTGTGGGTTGTTGTCTTACAGGTGATGTAGCTTGTGTCATTGGGGCTAATCATGATGATTGGGGGAAATCATTATGATTCCTTTAGTCTTTCCACTATCATCAAACTGTTTTGATAGACAATTTAGAAAATGTAACATCTACCGAGTGCTGTGATACAAAATCAGCTTTCCCAAGGCAAAGAAGCGGGGATATGCTGTGAAGACAGACACAACATACTGTAAGTCATAGTTATTCATTTAAAATCAATTGAGCATTTCAGGCACTTAAAAATTCCAAATACAAACATTGAAAAGTTTCACAAAAAAGTGCACAACCAAATATGACATATTTCAAATAGAGTATTTCAAAAACACCAGAAAACATATTGTAGAATGAGTAGATCACTACATTAACGAATTGATAGCATCATAACTCAGAACAGTAAATAAAATGAAATTATATTCACTACCCATTTAACAAACATTTCCCTTTTCAAAAACATTACAGGCAATGTAGACAGGCAATGTAGACAGGCTCCTGGATCTCCTCTTCAATGAGGTCACCCTTGATCCAGCGCCGTATGTTGGGAAGCTGTGCAAGCTGTCCATCCCAGGACCCCTGTCTGCCCAGTGTGAGAGGCCTGACAAGGGGGCCAAAGCTGGATTTGTCTCCCGCTTCAATCTTTGGGATGACTGAAGCAAAAGTGGGTGACTGAAGCCTGCTTGTTTGAAGTGGGGTACATGGGTCCCCTTCCTCTCCCACTCCCCTCCCAATAAATCTCTGTAGTCGGTTGCATTTCCTAAAACCTAAGTAATTCACTTTTACGTGATATGATATCACATTTTGTTACTTTGTATTATTGTTTTTATTTTTTCAAGCTTTCGGATGGGAAATTAGTTTTACAAATTATATGAATCAATGGAGTACTGCACACTGTAGGCCGGCCAGATGTCTATATTGGGCTTACTGCTATAATATATATTTTTTATGTCAAATGTTTCACTGTTATTTCTCACCTTTTTTTCTCATAAGTGTTCATGTTGATCAATACTTTGGCTATGCTGGCCTATTTTAAATGATCAAATAAATGTATGATCAATACATACAATTCTGAACATATTGTAATTTATCATGCCAATACAGAGTCACCAATAAATTGTCCAGTACATTTATTGTATGCTGTTTTCATGTACATTCCCTTATTTTCTAAGCTTCTAAGGTGACTCAGGCTTTACTAATTCTTGTGAAGAAGTGTATCAGTGAACTGTATTCTATAATTACTTGAAAACAAGCAATTGTGTATTGCTGCTGTTTGTCTGATATCCAACAGTCCATGATCTGCTCTGTTGAGGCATACTATTTAGGCTGGAAATGATGTGGCCCATTGTTTACGTTGTTACCTGGCAACCACCACAAGGGTGTTTCAAAGAGCTGTCAGTCAAGGCAAGCTCATGAATATAAGCTCCCCACCCACTCAGCCTGTTCATTCAGGCTTCATGATAGCTAGAGATGAGAGAAAAGGTAATGTCTTCAATTCTGAGCATTTTAATAGCATAAAAATATTATGGGTGATGTTTTGGTCATTCACAGGCTATTTTTACTACGGAAATAGGATGACTGCGGGACCTTTAAGAAAGTGAGGGGAAGGGGTCAGGGCTGGGACAGGCTCAGAATGGCACTTAAGGTGACAGGTGAAGACCCACTGACCTGCCATATCCACGCACATGCATGACAGACTACAGGGCAGGATTATGATGAGTCACTCAAGCCTGGTCCCAGATCTGCTTGCCATCTGCTATGGCCATTATCACATTGACCATAGGAGTTGGAAAGACAGCACAAACATATCTGGGACCAGGCTAATAGGAGTTGGCAAGACAGAACAAACAGATCTGGGACCAGGATTGCTCTGCTATCTCTGTTACACCTCGGCCATGATGGGTTTGGTGACGCGCTTTGTACTTTTACAATTTAGATCTGTACAAGAGATTCTGTGGGTCATGATGTTATGTCATCATCACGGCTGTCCAAGCACACGAGGAGAAGACAGTATAATAGACAGAGGTGGAAAAAAACTAAGTAGATGTAAAGAGCCAAGTTTGTTCATCAATCACTCTTTATTTGTCACGTGTTATAAATGAGAACTTCACTCTTCATCTCTCATCCCTTATCTATATTAATAGATTCGATATGTGGATAAATCCCAAGCTTGTCCATGCTTAAAGGCAAATCGATTAATCTAATGTACTATAAGGAAAGTTAAGAAATATCTGTATGAAACATCTGTAGTCCTTTGTCATAAAACAAGATAGAACAATGTAAACAGTGGTTGAAATGGGTGATCTGAACATAAAATGGTAAATTACTCTAGCGTTATGATTAGAAAACATTTTGTAGGAAAACTTGGTACTTTTCCATCATGATATAAAACAAACAATGTTTTGTAATTTTGAACGTTGTGATAAATCTCTGTTTAAACAGTGCATTGCATTTTGTCTAAATATGTTCTGGATCAAAGAAGAGCATTTATTTTTGGAGGAATGTTAGGTTTGTGGTGGGAAGCTTCACAATAGCTATGTTTGATAAGATATGAAGAGTTTTTGTCAGTGTTGTTTGGGCCTGTGGTCAGGTTTGTATTTGAGAAGCAGGCCGAGAGAGGCAAAGCCAAACAGCACCGTCTGAACAAACCAGAGGCAACGTGTCCTTGTGCCGTCCACCCCTTTGTCACTGTGAAGACACACACACACACACAAAGCAGTTCAGTCTTCAGTGACAATGACTACAGCATAATGGCCTTTAAGGTATTGAGTAGAGTCCAAATAGGCAAATATAAAGAGAGGTGACAGAAGGCTGTGCATTATAAGATCTTAAATGTAACTAGAGATGCAGTTATACAATGCCCTCTTCTGGACAAAACAAAACATGACGAGGGATGGTGCACTAGAAGAAATCCATTGAGAAAATACACCATCAAAAATAAATCCATTATTATTAAAAGAAACATAAGACCAATATTTTTTTTTTTCAAAAGAATAGAATAGGATATTTTGAGTTTAATTAGGCCTATGTTATGGGTCTGTGCAGCCATGGCTGCACCATCGAAATGAAATCAATTGTTCGTTATTTTGTTCATTAAACAGACAAGACACACCTACCCGATCACAGTCAAGACACCGATGGTGGAAAAATTACCCAATTGTCATACTTGGGTAAAAGTAAAGATACCTTAATAGAAAATGACTCAAGTAAAAGTGAAAGTCACCCAGTTAAGTACTACTTGAGTAAGTCTAAAAGTATTTGATTTTAAATATACTTAAGTATCAAAAGTAAATGTAATTGCTAAAATATACAGTATTCAGACCCCTTCGCTTTTTCCACATTTTGTTACATTACAGCCTTATGTAAATAAGGTATTTCTGTTTTTTATTTTGAATACATTTGCAAAGATTTCTAAAAACCTGTTTTCGCTTTGTCATTATGGGGTATTGTGGTTAGATTGATGAGGAAATTGTTTAATTTAGTCCATTTTACAATAAGTATTCAGACCCTTTGCTAAGAGACTCGAAATTGAGCTCAGGTGCATCCTGTTTCCATTGATCATCCTTGAGATGTTTCTACAACTTCATTTTAGTCCACCTGTGGTAAATTCAATTGATTGGTCGTGATTTGTAAAAGCACACACCTGGCTATATAAGGTCCTACAGTTGACAGTGCATGTCAGAGCAAAATCCAAGCCATGAGGTTGAAGGAAATGTCCGTAGAGCTCCGAGACAGGATTGTGTCGAGGCACAGATCTGGGGAAGGGTATCAAAACATTTCTGCAGCATTGAAGGTCCCCAAGAACACAGTGGCCTCCATCATTCTTTTAATTATTATTATTTGTATAAAAAAATGTACTCCCTTTTTCTCCCCAATTTTGTGATCCAATTACGATCTTGTCTCATTGCTGCAACTCCCCAACAGGCTCGGGAGAGGCGATGGTCGAGTCATGCGTCCTCAGAGACATGACCCGCCAAACCGCGCTTCTTAACACCGCCCGCTTAACCCGGAAGCCAGCCGCACCAATGTACCGGAGGAAACACTGTTTACCTGACGACCGAAGTCAGCCTGTAGGCACCCGGCCCACCACAAGGAGTCGCTAGAGCGCGATGAGCCAAATAAAGCACCCCTGGCCAAACCCTCCCCTAACTATGGGACTCCCGGTCACTGCCGGTTGTGACACAGCCTGGGATCGAACCCGGGTCTGTAGTGACGCCTAAAGTATTGCGATGCAATGCCTTAGACCGCTGCGCCACTCGGGAGGCTGGCCTCCATCATTCTTAAATGGAATAAATGTCGGCAGGCCGCCCGGCCAAACTGAGCAATCGGGGGAGAAGGGCCTTGGTCAGGGAGGTGACCAAGAACCCAATGGTCACGCTGACAGAGCTCCAGAGTTCCTCTGTGGAAATGGGAGAACCTTCCAGAAGGACAACCATCTCTGCAGCACTCCACTAAACCAGGCCTTTATGGTAGAGTGGCCAGACGGAAGCCACTCCTCAGTAAAAGGCACATGACAGCCCGCTTGGAGTTTGCCAAAAGGCACCTAAAGGACTCTCAGACCATGAGAAACAAGATTATCTGGTCTGATGAAACCAAGATTGAACTCTTTGGCCTGAATGCCAAGCATCACGTCTGGAGGAAACCTGGCACCATCCCTACGGTGAAGCATGGTGGTGGCAGCATCATGCTGTGGGGATGTTTTTCAGCAGTAGGGACTAGGAGACTAGTCAGCATCGAGGGAAAGATGAACGGTGCAAAGTACAGAGAGATAGTTGATGAAAACCTGCTCCAGAGCGCTCAGGACCTCACACTGGGACAAGCACACAGCCAAGACAATGCAGGATTGGCTTCGGGACAAGTGTCTGAATGTCCTTGAGTGGCCCAGCCAGAGCCTGGACCTGAACCCGAACCCGATCTAACATTTTTGGAGAGTCCTGACAATATTAGCCTATCACTTGTGAATGATGCCCAGCGTGTGCAGTAAGGCATGAAACAGCGCATGCCTTTTTTCTCTCTACTTTTTCAAATCCTAGTCGCACATTAATCCGCTTTACAACCGGTGTAGAGCCTAACTGGCATACATACAGTGAGGGAAAAAAGTATTTGATCCCCTGCTGATTTTGTACGTTTGCCCACTGACAAAGACATGATCAGTCTATAATTTTAATGGTAGGTTTATTTGAACAGTGAGAGACAGAATAACAACAACAAAATCCAGAAAAAGCATGTCAAAAATGTTATAAATTGATTTGCATTTTAATGAGGGAAATAAGTATTTGACCCCTCTGCAAAACATGACTTAGTACTTGGTGGCAAAACCCTTGTTGGCAATCACAGAGGTCAGACGTTTCTTGTAGTTGGCCACCAGGTTTGCACACATCTCAGGAGGGATTTTGTCCCACTCATTAAGGTCCCACTCATTAAGGTCTCGAGGCTGACATTTGGCAACTCGAACCTTCAGCTCCCTCCACATATTTTCTATGGGATTAAGGTCTGGAGACTGGCTAGGCCACTCCAGGACCTTAATGTGCTTCTTCTTGAGTCACTCCTTTGTTGCCTTGGCCGTGTGATTTGGGTCATTGTCATGCTGGAATTTTCAATGCCCTGGCTGAGGGAAGGAGGTAATCACCCAAGATTTGACGGTACATGGTCCCGTCCATCGTCTCTTTGATGCGGTGAAGTTGTCTTGTCCCCTTAGCAGAAAAACACCCCCAAAGCATAATGTTTCCACCTCCATGTTTGACGGTGGGGATGGTGTTCTTGGGGTCATAGGCAGCATTCCTCCTCCTCCAAACACGGCGAGTTGAGTTGATGCCAAAAAGCTAAATTTTGGTCTCATCTGACCACAACACTTTCACCCAATTCTCCTCTGAATCATTCAGATGTTCATTGGCAAACTTCAGACGGGCCTGTATATGTGCTTTCTTGAGCAGGGGGACCTTGCGGGCGCTGCAGGATTTCAGTCCTTCACGGTGTAGTGTGTTACCAATTGTTTTCTTGGTGACTATGGTCCCAGCTGCCTTGAGATCATTGACAAGATCCTCCCGTGTAGTTCTGGGCTGATTCCTCAACGTTCTCATGATCATTGCAACTCCCCGAGGTGAGATCTTGCATGGAGCCCCAGGCCGAGGGAGATTGACAGTTCTTTTGTGGTTCTTCCATTTGCGAATAATCACACCAACTGTTGTCACCTTCTCACCAAGCTGCTTGGCGATGGTCTTGTAGCCCATTCCAGCCTTGTGTAGGTCTACAATCTTGTCCCTGACATCATTGGAGAGCTCTTTGGTCTTGGCCATGGTGGAGAGTTTGGAATCTGATTGATTGATTGCTTCTGTGGACAGGTGTCTTTTATACAGGTAACAAACTGAGATTAGGAGCACTCCCTGTAAGAGTGTGCTCCTAATCTCAGCTTGTTACCTGTATAAAAGACACCTGGGAGCCAGTAATCTTTCTGCTTGAGAGGGGGTCAAATAGTTATTTCCCTCATTAAAATGCAAATCAATTTATAACATTTTTGACATGCGTTTTTCTGGATTTTTTTGTTGTTATTCTGTCTCTCACTGTTCAAATAAACCTACCATTAAAATTATAGACTGATAATTTCTTTGTCAGTGGGCAAACGTACAAAATCAGCAGGGGATCAAATACTTTTTTCCCTCACTGTAGGCGGCGAGTGAGTTTCAAGTTTGGGGAAGATAATTTTCGCCCTAAAAATGCACCTTTATAATAAAGCATTACCAATAGAATAGGTCAACTTTTGTACTATGGGGGATAGTAGATTGACATAGGCGAGTGCTTTTGCTGTTCATTAGGCCTACTCATCTTGTTAGCTGACGGAAAGTACATGTGGACAGTTCAATACGCGCCTTGGAATTTGATAAGAGGGACACGCGCAGTTGCGTCCCCCATGTGTCTGTCTTCACTTCAGAGCTGAGATGCCTGTGAGAAGGACCCGATCACGTGATGGGCATTGGCTAATAAGAATTTTGATGTCTGAGAGAGCCATGTGAGTGAGAGGTGCTTCGGAGCAGGCAATTGGCAGCCGGGAGAAGGGAATTATAATTATTATATTCAGCCCAAGGGTACAACAGCCAATTTCGCCGCAAAAGGCATCGATATTTTAGGGGGATGCCGCCAGGAAATTAGAGGCCTGGTGAGAATATGATCAAGTGCTTGTCACATTGTGAATGAGAGACTGATGAAGTGTGTGCAGCCTGCACAAGAAACAAAGCAGAGCTCATGCCTTTCATGCGACTTTTTACTAATCATCATTAGTCGCATCATGCAGCCTTAGAATGTACTAAAGTTGCATAAATAACTATAAATTAAGCATATAGGAGGACCTGTTTCTTTGTTAACCGCTCAGAAATCGTTTGGAGAAAATATTATTTCTATTTTATTCAGCTATGTTCAATTGTATTCTTCATACTATAAAATAATATAAAATAATGCCATGGAATTCTAAGCAAATCTTGTCTGCTAAATGAACTAGTGTAGTCCACAGCCATATGGCATAGCCAGATCAGATCAGGGCCTAACAAGGACAACTCAGAGTATGCTATTCTGTTCATCTGAAATAGACTACATTTTCTTCATATCATGTTTCTTTAGACCTGTCTAAAATAAATAATGGATATATTGTGATGTTGTAGGCTATATTAACTGAATTTATTTTGACTTTTTTTAAATGTAGATGTTCCAAAGGTCTGTATCAGTGGATTGTAGGCTATGCGTGGAAGCCAGGAGATATTAAACGTGTTAATGTTAATTAACAGTCAATTACCATGAGACCGGCAGTTTGCTTCACAATCACCGGCGAACAAAATTTCAGAACAATAGCGCCCCATAGAGGAAACATGGATATGGAAATCCATCTTACCTGCAGACCTTCATGGCAACAAGGGCTTCAGCCACGTGGATGGCCCAGGTTGCCCACCATCTAAAACACAGAGAAACACACAACATCCAGAATGAGGATGTTTCTAGTCTATTTCTAATAGGTTTTTGAAAACAGTCTAAGGGCTCAGGCACAACATCAGCGTTTGCTGGCCGAGAGTACTTAGCACCTCTGTACGAAATTTGCGTACCGATTTTACATGTAGAATTGTGTGAAAACTGTTGGCAATCAGACATTTACAGCAGGTGGTCCCTAAAACACAGCGCTCTTAATGATCGACAAACTAACGCTAGATCCACATTCGGTGCGATGTGTGCGAGCCTTAACAGTATTTCTGGCAATTGACCAATGAACTCATGACCTCTGCTAGCTACAATGGTATGGTACCACACCACAGCAATTGATCAGCAACACAAAAACAGAAAACACATTGGTCTTGTATGGATATAAAATGTGTGAGTGTTTCTTTGATATTTAATAAGTGGCCATGTATGTGATGAATGAGTTGAAGTGTTACACTGAAAATATGGTGATAAGAGTGAAAATGGTGAAGGGAGTAGGACACAGTTGATTAAGCAGCCTGACTAAGCCTCTGTATTCTGTGGGTACTTGGCACATCATTAGAAAGCTCATTTACAGTGATCTATTGTGATGGCAACCCCTGCATGTGATGAACATTGTAACTGCAGTTTCATTCAGAATTACCTTCAATTTCACATTGACTATCCTCATTCTGACTATAAACTTGTTTGGCCAACATTTCACCCCATGCCACTTGATGACAGAACCTTGTGGACATTATCATGGAGGAACAGTAACTTACCCTTTGTACATGAGAGAATGGTGATTGTCCACCAGGTATCTGGACAGGGTACCAAGCGGACCTAGTTTGACATAAGGGACCTGCTGTGGCCAGAACACTGTCCACTGATAACAGAACAGAGATGTGATCAGACAGTCAGTTCTTGGAAAACATCTATTTTTCACAAAATAGCATGTTACAAACAGTGCCCCATACACACAAATTCCTTCCACCAACTTTTGAAAACATTAATTATGTAGGCCTACACATGTCCCACCTGTGCCACACATCCAAGTCATTTTCTACTATGATCACATGGTCATTGTAACACCTGATAGGTTGCAACATGTTTGACAAAAATACTATTCAGCTCTATCCATTCCAGAGGGTCTCCAGCTTGTGCACTAACCCTCCACTTTTTGCTCATCATTGTTAGGATATAGCCAAACTCCTTTTGTATCTCTACCCAAGAGCTAACAGTGCTAGCAAGCAGTTGTCACTGGGGTTCCCTTGTTTGCACTATACCAGGGTTCCCCAACTGGTCGGGCCTGTGGGTGGTTTTATTTGGAGCTCCATGTTTTCTGAGCAAAAATAATAATAATAGTATTGCCACGCATAATAAAGAGACACATCTGATTGTATACAAATCTAAGCAAGGTTTGAAACTATTGTTTTAGTCAAATATTATATATGTTTGGGCTTCTTGCAGTCAATTTGCAGTCTACAAATGATTTGTAATTATGTTCCAGCCCCCGACCATTCGCTCAAGAAATCGGCCCGCGGCTGAATCTAGTTGATGATCCCTGCACTATACTATACTGGGGGATGCGTATGTATGACCTCTGACTTACATTACTCTGTGGAAGGCAATGCATAAGCAACACTGAACAAAAATATAAACGCAACATGTAAAGTGTTGGTCCCATGTTTCATGACCTGAAATAAAAGATCCCAGAAATGTTCCATACACACAAAAAGCTTATTTCTCTAAAATGTTGTGCACTCATTTGTTAACATCCCTGTTAGTGAGCATTTCTCCTTTGCCAAGATAATCCATCCACCTGACAGGTGTGGCATATCAAGAACCTGATTAAACAGCATGATCATTACACAGGTGCTGGGGACAATAAAAGGCCACTCTAAAATGTGCAGTTTTGTCACACAACACAATTCCACAGATGTCTCAAGTTTTAAGGGAGTGTGCAACTGGCATGCTGACTGCAGGAATGACCTTAGTCCTGCATGTTGGAGCTCAAAGCCTATGACGTTCACTATAGTCTGCAATCACACCTGCAACCCTGTACGTGTGTATTAAACACTCTGAATCTGAATCCACCAGAGCTGTTGCCAGATAATTGAATGTTCATTTCACTATCATAAGCTGCCTCCAACTTCATTTTAGAGAATTTGGCAGTACATCCAACCAGCCTCACAATGGCAGACCATGTGTAACCACACCAGCCCAGGACCTCCACATCCGGCTTCTTCACCTACGGGATTGTCTGAGACGAGCCACTCGGACAGCAGATGAAACTGTGGGTTCCCACAACTGAAGAATTTCTGCACAAACTTTCAGAAACCGTCTCAGGGAAGCTCATCTGCATGCTTGTCGTCCTCACCAGGGTCTTGACCTGACTGCAGTTCGGCGTCGTAACCGACTTCAGTGGGCAAATGCTCACCTTCGATGGCCACTGGCACACTGGAGAAGTGTGCTCTTCATGGATGAATCCCGGTTTCAACTGTACCGGGCAGATGGGGTCCTGATATTACTCCTGTGTTCTGCTATCCTTGTTTTCAGAGCTCGTTTAATTTTTCCTACATAGCATAGACCACAAATACACTTGATCAGGTATATCACATTTTTTGTGGAACACGTAATGATGCCCTTAATCTTAATGGCTTTACCCGTAATAGGGTGATTGAACAGTGTGCATTTGTTTGTAAAGTTACACTGGGTACATCGGCCACATCTATAATTACCGTCCAGCACATTGTCTAGGAAGGTACTACGTGGCACTGGTGGAAGATCAGACCTTACCACCATTTGACTGATGTTGGGGGCGCATCTGAAGACAACCCGCGGGGGTTCTTTAAACATAGCTGTGCAGCAACGCTCCCCATCCAACCTGACAGAGCTTGAGAGGATCTGCAGAAAGGAATGGGAGAAACTCCCCAAATACAGGTGTGCCAAGCTTGTAGTGTCATACACAAGAAGACTCGAGGCTGTAATCGCTGCCAAAGGTGCTTCAACAAAGTACTGAGTAAAGGGTCTGACAATTATGTAAATGTATATTTCCGTTTTTATTTTATAAATTTGATAAAAAATTTAAAAACCTGTTTTTGCTTTGTCATTTTGTGGTATTTTGTGAAGATTGATGAGGATTTTATTTTAAAATTTTTGATCCATTTTAGAATAAGGCTGTAACGTAACAAAATGTGGAAAAAGTCAAGGGGTCTGAATACTTTCTGAATGCACTGTAGGCCTATACATTAATCTTGAACAGGATTATCTATTTTGGATGCAATTTGAATGGAATTGATGGAGAGAAAGAAAGACTTCATGAGAGTGGTCACCTGTGCACTGATTTAAAGCAATTATATAGTCTGCAGCTGCAAATTAAAAAATATCTTTACAATTAAAAAAATAAGGTGATCCCCGAAAGCCAGACTGAGATGTGTAAATTAGACACGCATTCGATCTTCATATTACTGTAGCATAGGCTATGCTGCAGCAAATGTAGGTCTACCTGTCACAATAAAAAAAGTTACCATGATGAGATGATAGGTCTACATACTGAGATGGGCTGTCGGTCCCCACCCTGGGCGTTGATGCTTCATCATGCAGTGAACAGAAAGATGGCCATAGAGAATCCAGATTTAGACATTGCATATAATTTAACAGTTCAATATCACGTCATGCTGTTCATATAAATAATTTATTATAATGTACCGGTTTCTCACAGTTATTTATCTTGGGAAAAGGGAGTGGTTTTGGGTGGTAAATCTTGGTAACCGGGTTCCCGCCATTCAACCCTAGCCTTTACCTTTTTTTTTAAGGTATCTGTGACCAACAGATGCATATCTGTATTCCCAGTCATGTGGAATCCATAGATTAGAACCTAATTTATTTATTTCAATTGACTGATTTCCTTATGAACTGTAACTCAGTAAAATCTTTGAAATTGTTGCATCTTGCATTTATATTTTTGTTCAGTGTAGATGTGGTGGGGAAATTAAAAGATAAAACCTACACTAGATAACTAGGCTACTAACAGCCATATTGCACCCAATTCACCGTTAACACACTTTTCAAAAACGGACTTTGAACAAGATACTGCGTTATCTATAGGGCTATCTATGGCTGATAAATAGTCCTAGTAAGAGAAATGTCAATGGCTACACTATCATGACCTTTCTACTCAGCAGCACACCTGGAGTTATCCACTCAACTTGGTCTCAGAGCATTTTGTATTATTCTGTACGTAAATCAGAGTCCCTCAATTTAGTATGTTATGTTTGTTATGGTTATATAAGACAGATGGTTACTTAAGGCAAAAACGAAAGTAGGGTGGTTAGTCCGAGGGGAGTTGCGAGTTCGAATCTCATCACAGACAACTTTAGCATTTTAGCTAATTAGTAACTTTTCAACTACTTACTACTTTTTAGCTACTTTGCAACTACTTAGCATGTTAGCTAACCCTTCCCCTCCCCCTAACCCTTTTAGCTAATCCTTCATCTAACCCTAACTTTTTTAGCTAACCCTTCCCCTAACCCTCTTAAACCTAACTCCTAAACTTAACCCTAACCTTAGCCCTAACCCCTAGCCAAGCTAACGTTAGCGAGCCACCTAGCTAGAATTCATAATATATCATACGTTTTGCTAATTCGTAACGTATTATACGTTTGCAAATTCGTAACATATTGTACATTTTGCAAATTCGTAACATATAATATACGAATTGTAATTTGTCATACGAAATGTTTATTTTATTAATATATTTTACCCATATTTTACCAGATAAGTGGACTGAGAACACACTCATTTACAGCAACGACCTGGGGAATAGCTAAAGGGGAGAGGAGGGGTGATGAATGAGCCAATTGGAAGCTGGAGATGATTAGGTGGCCATGATCGTATGAGGACCAGATTGGGAATTTAGCCAGGACACTGGGGTTAACACCCCTACTCTTACGATGAGTGCCATGGGATCTTCAGTGACCACAGAGAGCCAGGACACCCGTTTAATGTCCGATCCGAAAGACGGCACCCTACACAAGGCAATGTCCCCAGTAACTGCCCTGGGGCATTGGGATATACACTGCATTCAGGAAGTGTTCAGACCCCTTGACTTTTTCCACATTTTGTTATATTACAGCCTTATTTTAAAATGGATTAAATAGTTTTTCCCCCTCATCAATCTACACACAATACCCCATAATGACAAAGCAAAAACAGGTTTTTAGACATTTTTGCTAATTTATAAAAAATAAAAAATGGAAATATTATATTAACATAAGTATTCAGACCCTTTACTCAGTACTTTGTTGAAGCACCTTTGGCAGCGAATACAGCCTCAAATCTTCTTGGGTATGAAGCTACAAGCTTGGCACACCTGTATTTGGGGAGTTTCTCCCATTCTTCTCTGCAAATCCTCTCAATCTCTGTCAGGTTGGATGGACAGCATCGCTGCACAGCTATTTTCAGGTCTCTCCAGAGATGTTCGATCGGGTTCAAGTCCTGGCTCTGGCTGGGCCACTCAAGGACATTCAGAGACTTGTTCTGAAGCCACTCCTGCGTTGTCTTGTCTGTGTGCTTAGGGTCGTTGTCCTGTTGGAAGGTGAACCTTCGCCCCAGTCAGAGGTCCTGAGCGCTCTGGAGCAGGTTTTCATCAAGGATCTCTCTGTACTTTGCTCTGTTCATCTTTCCCTCGATCCTGACTAATTTCTCAGTCCCTGCTGCTGAAAAACATCCCCACAGCATGATGCTGCCACCACCATGCTTCACCGTAGGGATGGTGCCAGGTTTCCTCCAGATGTGACGCTTGGCATTCAGGCCAAAGAGTTGAATCTTGGTTTCATCAGACCAGAGAATCTTGTTTCTCATGGTCTGAGAGTCCTTTAGGTGCCTTTTGGCAAACTCCAAGCAGGCTGTCATGTGCCTTACTGAGGACTGGCTTCCGTCTGGCCACTCTACCATAAAGGCCTTATTGGTGGAGTGCTGCAGAGATGGTTGTCCTTCTGGAAGTTCTCCCACCTCCACAGAGGAACTCTGGAGCTCTGTCAGTGACCATCAGGTTCTTGGTCACCTCCCTGACCAAGGCCCTTCTCCCAAGATTGCTCCGTTTGGCCGGGCGGCCAGCTCTAGGAAGAGTCTTAGTGGTTCCAAACTTCTTCCATTTAAGAATGATGGAGGCCACTGTATTCTTGGGGACCTTCTATGCTGCAGAAATGTTTTGGTACCCTTCCCCAGATCTGCGCCTCGACACAATCCTGTCTCGGAGCTCTACGGACAATTCCTTCGACCTCATGGCTTGGTTTTTGCTCTGACATGCACTGCCAACTGTGGGACTTTATATAGACAGGTGTGTGCCTTTCCAAATCATGTCCAATCAATTGAATTTACCACAGGTGGACTCCAATCAAGTGGTAGAAACATCTCAAGGAGGATCAATGGAAACAGGATGCACCCGAGCTCAATTTCGAGTCACATAGCAAAGGGTCTGAATACTTATGTAAATAAGGTATTTCTGTTTTTGTATTTTTAATACATTTTGCAAACATTTCTAAAAACCTGTTTTTGCTTTGTCATTATGGGGTATTGTGTGTAGTTTGATGAGGGGAAAAAATAATTCATTCAATTTTAGAATAAGGCTGTAACATAACATAATGTGGAAAATGAATACTTTCCGAATGCACTGTATATATTTTTAGAACAGAGGAAAGAGTGCATGCTACTGGCCCTCCAACACCACTTCGAGCAGCATCTGGTCTCCCATCCAGGGACCAACTCTGCTTAGCTGCAGAGGCAAGCCAGCAGTGGGATACAGGGTGATAAACTGCTGCCTAAAATGGAAATATCATACTAAATTATGTGTATCGGATTAACGTATAGAATAATACAAAATGCTCCAGGTTGATCCACTCCACACTCAGAAGGCCTAACCAGTTTTCCATCCAACCATTTTATGCAAGTAAAGTACATGTCGGATAAAAAAATGTTACGCCCGGCCTGATGGAAACGGCACATTTGTCGGTTAACTTTCCAAATGTCGAAAAAACAAAGTATGCTATTCATGGTGGGATCTTTTTGTGTCGGTGGGTAAAATGAATTATGCGAGAAATGCCGGTGGTAATGGCATTAATCGCAAATACTGATATAATAACCATCATTTCGAAGTAAACTTGGAGTCACGCGATGATGTGATGTGTTATGTGGTTCTAAGACTCGGGAAAGCATGCAGTTTATTAGGATACAGATTAAATAAATTATGATTTTACAATATTCGCATTTCAATCTGTCGCCAATTGGATGGAAACCTAGCTAGTGATTGCAATAATAGATACATGATTAGTCGGTAATTACAATGGCAATTATACAATATGAAATGTTTAACTTTGGGTAAATTTGCAGGCTTCTTACAGCAAGATAATTAATATTTAACTCGCAAGGTTGATGACCTGGCTAAAAGTGAATTGAAAGCGCAACATCTAGGCTAACTTCAAAAGCTAAAATAGCGTGCTACTACGCCATGGACTTCACGGGAATTTAATAATAAACAACAACACAACAAAAACTAACGTCTGAATAAATGACAGAAAATTGCCTGAGTAAAAATAGAGATCCACCCGGAGTCCATTCGTGGTGACACCTTGGCTATGTTTACGACATGGTGGCAGTGGCACAAAGTGAACTTAACAGTTTGCTTTATAATTGTGGTGGTATTGCTTCAAACCCATCCACGGTTTGTGGCATTCACTTACTGTGAAGTATCCCATCGAAAGCGTCACTGTAGTTATCCAAAAAAGACTGCTTCTTCTGAAATAATCGCACCCATCGCTTTTGGCCATGTTGGCTTTCAATTGGTTCCTCTGTCAAATCAGTACGTACATCAATAACAGTGGAAATGCTTGTGTAACGTAGTAGACTGCTGGCTGTTTGATGGTCATTGCTATCCGGGATTCTTGGGACGTCCCTACAGTTTAACCATAACCTTAACCCTTACCTAACCGTAACCCTTAACTTACTTTAACCCTTAATTTAAAACGTCAACTTCAATGGTGTATGGACGTCCCAAGGAACCCGTATAGCACGGACCCTGTTTGAATAGGGTTAGGCTATTGTGGGGTAAATATTTATTTCAGTCATATGATATCATTCAAGCTAATTGAATGTGTGCATGCATAAAAAAAATAAAAAATAACATTTTAACATTTATAATATATAGGCTATATATGTTTATTTTTTTTCCAATGCTTGTGTTTTTTTCTATTCTATTCAAAGTTATAAGATTAAAGTTAAGTAAAAGTGGGAGATTATCCAACTTGTTCATTGATGTAGCCAAGATCTAAGCTAATGGTTCTACAGTAAGCCGGTCATGGGACCATTAGGTATTTACAATCTTGTTAATGTCTCACCATCTGCATGAAAATAATGAAACAATGAGGTCATTTCACCATTAGTCAAATGGCCCATTGGTCAAACTTGTTATCATTACTCATTTACTCACTGATCATTGCATGTTGTGTGTCAGAATTATTTCAATCCTGACAAAAAACTGTTAATGACTCAAAGAATAGCCTACATCAGGCCATTATGCAATAGAGACTATGTATGAAAATGTATGCACTCACTAACTGTAAGTCGCTCTGGATAAGAGCGTCTGCTAAAATGACTAAAATGTAAAATGTATATGTATGTGTGATAGTTGAACATCATATGACACATTCTGTTATGTGCAAATGTTATATATAGACTATATATGTATTGAGGTGCATAATGCTGATTTTGCAAAGGGCTTTGAGGAGCCATCCTCTCGAGAGCCATCCCAAAACATGGAGACACTGATCCTCATTGTCCAGATAAGGAATGAAAAGACAATGAATCTCACCGGCCAATATGAAAAGTGAGATAACATTGTTGTTTATTGCATTTTATTATTTATTATTATTAATATATAATAGTATTACCAGTAAGAGATTAAATACCAAAATATATTACAGTATGTTGTAATATTATTTACTGAATATTATAGTTTTTTTGGTTTAAGTACTTGTATGTCAACTACCTGTGTGGGGTGTCCGTAAATTTCTTTCAGGGGCGATGAGTGTCATTGAGGTGAAAGTTCACTGTCCTCTGGCTCAGTCTTTCCCATAGGCTATGAAGAAACCAGCAAGTCTGGACAAGTCAAACTAAGTGATGAGCTTGTTACCCACTATTAGTGGGTACAACCCCTGGCCTTTCACTGTAATGGGCCTATACATCAATGAGAGGTGAGGCAGCATGTTGATAATGGTCCTATTAATTACCAAACAATTAGATGTCCTTGTTTTACTTACTGTGCTGTATTTGAAAAGAAAACAGCAGTTGTGAAAAAGATGCCATTCATGAATGGCATTGTGCATTTCACAAAGAAGTCATGTGAGTTAATATTTCTTCAAGCTAATTGTAATTGTTTGGTTAATTAAAATGCTCCATTGTGGTTGTTGACATAGCCATTAGCAAAGGACTTTCAGCGACTCACCCGTAATCATTTTCAACATGTGTTGTTGAAATAATGTAAGTTATTGAAATAATCCACATTTTTGTCTTGTTTTTATAAGCCCTTCTGTAATTTATGAAGCGTAATAATGGATATACTTGCACATCTATCTATTCCTGTTTACATACTGATTTGTTCACTTCACACTGCACACAAACCACTGATAGATGAGTACATACCAAAACACATGTTATTGAATTGCTGGAATAAACAAAGGTTAATGAATGCAAAAAAAAAACATGAATTTGCACTGCAAAAAAATAAGCATTTGTAATTGTTTGTTTACACAATGCCAAACACTAATGTTTATAAGGCACCTTGAAAATTCAATAAATAAACTACACATTTCCTACACACAATTAAGTAAGCATTTGTTACAGTTATACAGCACCTTGAAACAAAATGTTAAACTAGTCATAAATGTCTGATTTTATTTAGTAATGTATTTGATGTCTGATTCTAGTGTGCCAATGACCTTGCATGTGATGAGGATGATGTCGATGGGGTGGATGGGAGAGGGCCGTTAGTTAGTCCAAAAGACCATTCAGATTATCTTAACCTCAGTAACTGAAAGACAACCCCCGACCCAACACAAATTTACACCACTTCAAACTGTCGCCAAAAGATCACACTACATCATCAGCACTTCTTTGAGGTGGGGGTACTGGTTGGGTCCGGAGTCTTGTGATCTATATAAAAGGGCGGTCAATACATTTGGGAGACAGAGCTCTTGAGCACCTTAGTGAAGGAGCATCTATAACTGCACACAGCACACCTACAGATTCTTACACATCTTAGATAGCATCAACCAAACAGCACTATGTGGAAGAACACCAGCATTGGTAAGGAGAGATCACTGGATGGCACAGAATATAGGCTGGATATCAAGTCTGTATTTTTTAGCAGGCCAGGTGAATAATAGATTATGTCATTTTTGGGGGAAATGGAACAAAGTTGTTTAATTTTTATTCTTTAAAGCTGAACATTTGCTTTTGTAAGAACATTGGATTTTTGTGGGTGAAACATCAAAGGAACTTTACAGATTTCTGTCTTAGCACCTTTTTTTCTAGAACCTAAAAGGGTTCTGCGGTTGTCCCATAGGAGAACCCTTTGAAGAACCCTCCAGGTAGAATGGTTTTGGTTCCAGGTAGAACCATTTTGGATTCCACGTAGAAACCTTTCTACAGAGGGTTCTACATGGAACCAAAAAGGGTTCTACCTGGAACCAAAAAGGGTTATCCTATGGGGACAGCCGAAGAACCCTTTTGGAACCCTTTTTTTCTAAGAGTGTATGGGGTTTGTTTGCCACTTGTAATGCTGCAAAGTGATAGAGAGCCACATACTGTACACATTATTGCCTTAGCAACCTATGCTGGAGACAGACTCACTACATGATAAGACCCCCCCCCCCCACACCACCACCACCTCTGTCCTGCCATGGGCTCCTGTCTCGCTCCTATCTGACCTGGAACCTGTGTTTTCCCCTCAGATGTCCCTAGACAGGTGGCAGTCACCGGAGCCTTGTCCCGGAGTGCCAACCGCAGAAAGAGGACCAGCTTCTCCAAAGAGCACGTGGAGCTTCTCCGTGTCACATTTGAGACTGACCCTTACCCTGGCATCAGCCTGAGAGAGAGCCTGTCCCAGAACACAGGCCTACCTGAATCTCGCATCCAGGTAAGCAGCTACATACACACACACACAGGCATGCAGGAACACACAAACACACACACGAGTGTAATGGGTGTTGTTTACATTACAAGGGCTCTGTGTTCAAATGTGGTCTGCATGGGTGCTGCTGATACTAGTATCAGGGTTTCTGTTTATCTTTTAAATCACTAAGATGATGTAAGCAGTTTTTATCTGTGGTGTTGTTTGGTCTGATTGGTAGACTGTACAACACTTATAGTAAACAGAGCAGACAACAGCAAGATAAGCCCCAACACTCTCACGATATTCTACAGGTGTTTGTGGGTGGGCTTGGGAAATTATTAACATGGGTACAAAGCAAATCATTATATTTTAGTCATTGGAGTCAACTAACTGCAACACAGTATCTGTTTGCATTGGAGGTGCATTCTAACTGCTGTGTAATAACACAATTGTTTTGTCATCTCTCTCCAGGTGTGGTTCCAGAACAGGAGGGCTCGGACTATGAAGTGTAAGGGAGCTAAGGCCGTGTGGCAGTCCGACTCTGGCTTCCACTCCCCTGGTGAGTTCACCCCTGTCCAGGACCCAGTTTCCCAGCACCGCACCATGGGGACAGGGGCTATCCAGCCTGGCCTAGTCTCTCTGTCCACCTCCCCCTGCCTGCCCCCTGCCTACCCTGTCCAGGTGAAGGAGGAGGTGGAGGACTTTTTCTATGGACGCTGCCGTCCACCCTACCCTGGAGAGGAGGAGACTGGCCACTACAACTCCTTGTTCGAACTGAGGCAGGCCAGGGTGCTGGGAGACAGCTCCAGCCCACCACTTAATAGCCTCAGGCACCAGATGGTTCCAGGAGCCTGGCCCCAGGCAGGTGATCAGACATCCCCAGTGCAGTCCATGTGGAGCCCCTCTCCTCTGGAGGTAAGGAAATACAGCTCAGGCTCCAGCCAGGCCTTCCTTTACCATAGCTCAGCCGAGCAGCAGCCCCTCTACAGCAACCCCCAGGAAGCCTATGGAGGCCCCATTTCCCAGACCCAGGCCCCAAACACCCCGGATTCCGGCTGCTGGGAGTTTGGACAAGAGAACACCCCTACGATGGAAGGCCAAGGTTCCCAGTTGGATGGCTCCTGGAGCACGGCTATGTCTACCCCAGAATACCCAGGGCAGGCCCCCTACCATGCCCCCCTGCCAGAGCTCCCTGCCCTGTCCCTGCAGGAGATCCTGAGGGAGCTGGAGGGAGAGTGGTGGGAGGGAGATGGCCTGGACAGCTACCCCCAATGACGACAAACTGGTTAACTGTTGAAATCAGTTATCTAAACTTTTTTTTTACGATGGACAATATCTTTATTATTATAGTATTTTGTATAGTCTTTTGATTTTGTTTGAATAATGTATCAATGTGTATAGTATGAAGAAAATGTACAACATGGGGGTTTGTGGAAAAACAAGAGGGTTTTACTGTATAGCCTGTGTTTCTGGAATGTCAACTATGGACTAAATGTTGTATTCTCAGAGAGAGAGAGGGGATCATCCTTAGGAATTCTACAACGATTGTATTTATTCTCCCATGAACTTCATCCCAATTCATTTTAGGTTATCTATCTATTTATCTATTTATTTATTTATATTTTGTTCTCTGTACTTAAATTCTAAATAAATTGTATTAAAACAGTGTTTACATTTGTTTGTTTTATTCTGAAGAACGTTTTCTGAAGAACTCATTGCGTTACAGCAGCTTTGATCAGTGAAGAACTGAGCTGACACCTTTGATTTCAGAGGAAGTAATATAATATCTTGTTGATTCATAAAGTATTATGCCATAATGAAGGGTATTTCAAACATATCAGAGAGCTTAAGTAGGCCTTCAAGATGGTTGTGAGTAAGACTTGAATTTACATTTCTTTACACTCATTTGCATTCGTCACGCATGTGATCAGTTGTCACTCATGCACAGCGTAATGCAACACATCCACTAAGATGGTGGTTGTGAGTCACAGATTCATAGTATGGGAATCCGAGTAGCTGGTCATTGTAGGCCTACTATATCAGTTATAATGCTGTTTCTGACCATAACTCTTAAGTTGTCCATACAAGCTGCTGTGTGAAGTGCCATTTGTCATTGTTCTTGTGTTAAGAGTCACTGGTGGTCAATGATACTGACCGTACCGTATTTTTACGGCAGTTATGCAATTGTGCCACTAGAGGTCAATAGAGAACCATTTATTTTGAATTTCATGGTTATCTCTCAACTCGTCCAGATGTAGTTAGAGATCTACTTTATCTATATGTCTACTACATAAAGGTCTTGGTACATTTTACAACTAGCAACTTGAGCCACAGGGAAGGTGTCACTGTATGAGCTCAAGGACATGCTAGATGACCATGATGACCAATTGAAATTATTATATATCATAGGATACATTTAATAGATTTTAGAAACTTGATTCTGCTTCTATATTATGTATTTCCTCTATTTTGTTTTGTATTTCATGGACCATGTACACTCCCGTGCTGACATTTTCTCAGGTCGCTCTCTCTCAAAAATTCAACCATCAAGAGACTTTCTTCCTACTAAAATAAAATATAAATACTTTGGAAAGAATGTACATTTGAAATTATTTAGCTAAAATCACAAACTTTTTTCAATATAAATAGGACAGTCTGTGCCATCCATATTTCTATAGCTCCTGGATATGTCTTAAGATATTGTAAGATTTCTATAGACACCATTGAAGATCCCTCCCATCAACCCATGACCTCACTACAGATCAGCTGAGTAGGGAGGTGCATATTTCTGTTGCTATGACCAACATTTTCCTGTGGCTGCTACCTCTGTAGTCACACCTATACTCCACAAGGGAAAATGGGCTGTGAGACACAATGGAAAGAGAGACGCTCTCTCACACAGCAACACCATTCATTCACAGTAACATCCTTCATTACGCAGGTCATGGAGGAACATGGAGGAAAATATGTGTATGCAGAGGTGAACATAACAAAAGGATTACTCACGTATAGTGATCTTTTGTAGTAGTGTCGGTAATGAGCCTTGATACCTCGGAGACCTAAAGAGGAGACAGAAATGCATGTACGTATGCACACACACACACACACACACACACACACACTGTTTTCCTATCCCCTTACGGTCAGCATCAATCAATGGAAGTGAATATGTGCAAAAAGAAAGGAAAGAAATCACAAAGCCGTGAGATGAGGTCTTACGTAAATTAGAACATAGAGTGCAGGACCACACTGAGGGAGTGTGTGTGTGTGTGTATGTGTGTGCACGCGTGCGTGCTTGCATGTGTGTGTCTGTGGATGCATTTGTGTGCACATGTCACATGAAAAGGTCTTATCTAGAAATATGAAGAGCATACCAATCTAATGACAGATCAGCAAAGGAAGTGCTGCAGACTGTCATCTGTTACCGAAGATACTGAGACACTGGATTTAGATTTATTTGCATGGACATTTCATTTAATTTCAATTTTCTCAACAAGAGGTAAATCAAAACAGTCAAACTTTGACTGTCAAAGAGGAGCTACTGGGAAAGCAGCCCTGTCTTTTATAGATGCCTTGACCTTTAAACCTAGTCAGGTTACAAAACAGACAGTTGATATTAAAGTCATCCAATGGGAAATAAGGTCAGCAGCTCACTAATGAACTCATGTAGCTTACCAACATCAAACTTACACCAGTAGCCTAGTTTAGGCCTACTATTCATGCTCTGTAAAATGAAGCAAGGTTTTATATACAGTACATACAGCGGGGGAAAAAAAGTATTTAGTCAGCCACCAATTGTGCAAGTTCTCCCACTTAAAAAGATGAGAGAGGCCTGTAATTTTCATCATAGGTACACGTCAACTATGACAGACAAATTGAGGGAAAAAAATCCAGAAAATCACATTGTAGGATTTTAATGAATTTATTTGCAAATTATGGTGGAAAATAAGTATTTGGTCACCTACAAACAAGCAAGATTTCTGGCTCTCACAGACCTGTAACTTCTTCTTTAAGAGGCTCCTCTGTCCTCCACTCGTTACCTGTATTAATGGCACCTGTTTGAACTTGTTATCAGTATAAAAGACACCTGTCCACAACCTCAAACAGTCACACTCCAAACTCCACTATGGCCAAGACCAAAGAGCTGTCAAAGGACACCAGAAAAAAAATTGTAGACCTGCACCAGGCTGGGAAGACTGAATCTGCAATAGGTAAGCAGCTTGGTTTGAAGAAATCAACTGTGGGAGCAATTATTAGGAAATGGAAGACATACAAGACCACTGATAATCTCCCTCGATCTGGGGCTCCACGCAAGATCTCACCCCGTGGGGTCAAAATGATCACAAGAACGGTGAGCAAAAATCCCAGAACCACACGGGGGGACCTAGTGAATGACCTGCAGAGAGCTGGGACCAAAGTAACAAAGCCTACCATCAGTAACACACTACGCCGCCAGGAACTCAAATCCTGCAGTGCCAGACGTGTCCCCCTGCTTAAGCCAGTACATGTCCAGGCCCGTCTGAAGTTTGCTAGAGTGCATTTGGATGATCCAGAAGAGGATTGGGAGAATGTCATATGGTCAGATGAAACCAAAATAGAACTTTTTGGTAAAAACTCAACTCGTCGTGTTTGGAGGACAAAGAATGCTGAGTTGCATCCAAAGAACACCATACCTACTGTGAAGCATGGGGGTGAAAACATCATGCTTTCGGGCTGTTTTTCTGCAAAGGGACCAGGACGACTGATCCGTGTAAAGGAAAGAATGAATGGGGCCATGTATCGTGAGATTTTGAGTGAAAACCTCCTTCCATCAGCAAGGGCATTGAAAATGAAACGTGGCTGGGTCTTTCAGCATGACAATGATCCCAAACACACCGCCCGGGCAACGAAGGTGTGGCTTCGTAAGAAGCATTTCAAGGTCCTGGAGTGGCCTAGCCAGTCTCCAGATCTCAACCCCATAGAAAATCTTTGGAGGGAGTTGAAAGTCTGTGTTGCCCAGCGACAGCCCCAAAACATCACTGCTCTAGAGGAGATCTGCATGGAGGAATGGGCCAAAATACCAGCAACAGTGTGTGAAAACCTTGTGAGGACTTACAGAAAACGTTTGACCTGTGTCATTGCCAACAAAGGGTATATAACAAAGTATTGAGAAACTTTTGTTATTGACCAAATACTTATTTTCCACCATAATTTGCAAATAAATTCATTAAAAATCCTACAATGTGATTTTCTGGAGAAAAAAATGCTCATTTTGTCTGTCATAGTTGACGTGTACATATGATGAAAATTACAGGCCTCTCTCATCTTTTTAAGTGGGAGAACTTGCACAATTGGTGGCTGACTAAATACTTTTTCCCCCCACTGTATACAGTAAATTAATATATGTATTATATGTGTATTCATTAGATTACATAAAAGCAATGCAGATAGTCTCATTTGGAATTTGACTAAATGCTGTTACTTCTCTTCTCTGATTGGTTCATAACACCTACTACACTACATGATTTGAACAGCAAGTATGAGGTAATTATTTGATCACGTGACAGCTGCAGCAATTGGGTGAGTTCATTTTGCATGGGCTGGTGCCCTGAGTGGACGGAGTTTGCACATTTTAGACCATTCCATTGGTTTTAAGTGAAATCTCCACTCACCAGGCCCATTGTCAAACGTTACGATAGCGCTATACTGGAGGTTGAAAGCTACAGCTTCGCAGCTCAGGATAGCCACGCCCCCTGATGCTGATTGGACCGTCGACATCTGGCTAGCGACTATTATCAAAGTGGACATGAACTATAGGGATGTTGTGTGGGAGAATGTATGCATATGTTATCAAATGGAAATAGGGTCGGAGAGAGAAGTCCACGACATCAAATGTTTGCTGGGAGAAACATGTGTAACAAGACAGCTGATCCCACCACTATCAGACAGATGTGTGTGTTTGTTTGTATGTATGTGTGTGCATATTTGCGTGTGTGTGCAAGTTAATTTGTTTACATTTATGTCATTTAGCAGACGCTCTTATCCAGAGCGACTTACAGTTAGTGAGTGCATACATTATCATACTGGCCCCCCGTGGGAAACGAACCCACAACCCTGGCGTTGCAAGCGCCATGCTCTACCAACTGAGCTACAGGGTACTGTTTGTTTGCTTTTTCTTCCTACTTCTCTTAAGAAAGGTAATGAAGATCATGGGTCTGGGTGCACTAATTCAAGGAGACAGCCCACACCTGTCCAAGTGCAACACAGAGGTCAAGTCATCTCTTCCTATGTATTGTATTTTCACAGCATTGACTCCCTCCTGTGGTGTCTCCATCTGCAAGATCCTCACACTAATCCCTCCACTCCCTCTTCAGGTCATCATGCCATTGTCATACTTTTGTTTTGGCTAATGCAGATTTAGGCTACTGATTTTGTGCAATTATGCCATCATTTGGGAATAATTAGGAATAAAGCCATAGATAAAGTCACTGGATTTAACACCATTATGCGTAGGGTATAGGCTATACCTAAAAAGTTGTGTCTGAAGATGCAAATCAAGTGTAATAACGATGACACATAGGCTATTTGGAGACACTTCAACAACAATATAGCAAAGAATTTGCCTAAAACCTGATATCAATAAACTATCCACAATCTACGGATTTTTACCAAAACCCATTGGTTTCAGAAATAGCCCCGCCTCTACAGCAAGCGAACTCACCTTTTCTATAGTGCCAATGCAAACCAAGCGAGGGACCGAGAGTCAAGGGGCGAACTGGGGAACAGGCTCTGCAGTGGGCTTCCAAGCGCGTCTCGCGAATACATCAACGATAGGGCGGGGGACTGGGGTGAAGCCATTTCGACTGCTGGGACTTTCTAGACTTTTCTGAACTGGTAAATAGCCACCCTGTACAGTGTCTGTGCTGTTTGTGTATGCAGTGTGGAAGTAAAACCCATTTAAGGCCACATTTGCAAACTGGACTGCAGCAGGGAGGAAGGAGATATGGAATTTCCATTGGTCTCGGTGAGTCGCACATTTGGTCCTCGTCTCTGGTGATGCCCGTGGTGTGGGGATCTCCGTGCAGCTCAGGAAAACAGGGCGTCGGAGGATGATGGTAATGATAGGATCATCATGGCAAACGGAACTGGTACTATTATGTTGAAATGCGTTGTGGTTGGAGACGGTGCTGTGGGCAAAACGTGTCTGTTGATGAGCTATGCCAACGACGCCTTTCCAGAGGAGTATGTGCCCACTGTGTTTGACCATTATGCAGGTAAAATGATTTTGGAACATGTCATGATCATGCATGAACAGTTAGGCTATGTGTGTGTTATCTCGAATTGAACCTGATCCTTACTAATAAAAGCTGACATCATTATGTTGGTGGTCGGTCTAGTTACAGTTGCATGAGTTTAATCGCTATGCCAATTCGTTTGAATAGTCCCTAAAATTCAATGTTCAGGAGAAGGTTACGTGTCAGAATGGAATGCTTACTTTTTCCACTTTCTTTGTCTCAGATTGCATAGGATTACATCTGTTTCTATAATCAAAACCACTTGTTTGCCTCCTAGGAGAGGGAGGGGATAAGCGATCTCTGTCTGTCTGTCTTTCTCTAAACTAACCTTTGTCATTGCTTTGCAGTGAGTGTCAACGTTGGCGGAAAGCAGTACTTATTGGGACTGTATGACACAGCTGGTCAGGTACAGTGAGTTTATTTTAACTCTGGCTGGATGCCAAGCATGCCACATCCAAGGACACAACCTCTCCCCATGTGCTCCCCCACTGTTAACCAATGGTGCTCTTGACACACCCACAAGCTTGAAATTCTGATCACACTCTAAGCTGTAACAGGTGATGGTTTTCACACATTGCTCTAGTTTCCAGTCAGTCTGGTGTGTGATAGACCGTGGTTGTAGGCCTAGTGAAGCATTTCAATAGGTCTATTATGTAGAGAACAGGGGTCCTATGTCCAGTGTCCAGTAGGGATGTTGTCACTGTCCTGTTTATGGGTTGGTTCTTTACAATGTAGCATTCAATCTGCAAGAGTATCACTCAACTCACACTGTACATAGCCGCACACAGTCAAATGTGCACATCATAACATTTTCACTCACCACCAGCAAGCTCTCACGTAAACACACACTCACTTTTTCCTCTTAGACCTTTAGCTCTGTTTTTCCAAGCTGGGTCTGAAGTTAAGGCATGTCACATGCAGCAATGAATTCTGAACACTCTCCCCTGAACCCGATTTAACTGTAAAGTCCAAATAGGTCCTGAACTGAAACATTATTCAACTGGTGAAAAGGGGAATAGGTTTGAGGTTGAGAAATGGTACAATAGGCCCATTGTTTGTTCATTAATAAAATATAAGTACATTAATAGTTGCTATTGCCTCCACTGAATCAAAATAAGTATTCCCACTCGAATCTGTGGCTAACATAACTAATTCTTTGGAGAAACTACATGATCTTAAAACTACATCTCATTAGTGTTTCACACAGCTTTTTGTTACTCTTTTGTGTTTGATTGCAATTCCATGTCTGGAGCCTTTTTGTTTTAGCTGATTCAGACGTCTGTGAAATGGAGAAGTTTCCCAGATGTCGACTGTGGCCGCAGAGGCCACAGAGAGTAGAGTTACTTCTCTTCAAACGCAGCTCCTCCACTTTGGCTGACCTCTTTATGCTGAGCACAAGGCCAGCTGGTAATGTTTATAGCTTCAGTATCTGATCAAAGACGGGAGTGCCAGAGAGCTAGAGGGAGGAGAAACCGGAAGAGAGAGAGACAGAGGGGAAAGAGGAATAGAGAGACTGAGGGGCTGGCTGAGAGAGAGGGGGAAAAACAGTGAGGGGGAGCGAAAAACTGCAAATCTGCTCTGGAATCCTGTAATGCAGCCCTATAGGAGGCTCAAGCCGGGGGTGTGGAAGAATGCAATGCTAAATACTGTACCTCTCTCTTGTTGAGGAACCTCATCCAACCCAGCCACCGACCCGCTAATTCACACTCTCCTGCTACAATCCCCACCTTCTGCTCTGCATTAGACATGTTTTATTGGCTCCAAAGACCCTTTAATACTTATGTCCCTGGCAGAGCTAAAGCTCCCAGAATCGTCATAGGGGAAGATGATTAACCATTTGCTCAAAGAGGAGAGAAATTAGTCTCATTTTCCTATGTTTTTGTCTGTTTGGCACTTAATCCACCACCCGTGTATTTTCTAGATCTATACGTAACACGTTCAGTCACATCTCTTAGCTCTTGAACATGTGGGCCAGAAAGAATAGAATGGATAGTCTTTATTTATTAATTCATCCCCTGCCTGGCTGATGCACTAATCATAGAAAGCTAGCATTGCTGCTGTGGATAGGAGGAGGAAGCAGGAAGTGGATGTTAAGTGCTGTTGTACCCATGGCAACACTGGGCTCTCTTTACTCCTTCTCTTCACTCTCTCCCTTTGTTGCTGCTCAGTTTCTCATTTGCTCACACCCTCCTGCACTCGCACTCCTCACACTCAGTTGCACATGCCTCCGTCACTCTTCTGTGACGGCCCCACCTTTTGTTTTGTACAGTGCCTCGTTAGGATTTGTGCCCTCCCTGAGATGTGACCCCTAGACATCCCAGCAGGGGGTAGAGTAAAGTGGGCTCTGCTCTGCTGCCACAGGGCCTTAATCCTCTCCACTCAGCTGAACACCAATGGGAGGTAGCTAGACATGTCATGCCCCTTTGAACACCAATGGGAGCACTAGACATGTCATTCCCATTTGAACACTACAGCTAGATAGAGGCTGCTGATGGATGTTTTAAACTGTTTCACCATTGACCATCATAGGTCTAAAGCTCCATTATTTGGCATAGGATGTAATCACCTTGAATGGGATACCTCAGTCTGAACTATCACTTTAGTCCTGTGTTGGGAAATGCTCAGACAGTTTTGGGGATGAGCCGTGAAGTACTGCAATATGAAATACAGTTACTAGCTGGCAACCAACTACCAGTAAGTTACTGTAAAATTCACAGTAAACCATTTACAGTACAGTGTTCAGACAGTTTTGAGGAAGGGCCATAATATAATAATAATAATAATATGCCATTTAGCAGACGCTTTTATCCAAAGCGACTTACAGTCATGCGTGCATACATTTTTTTGTGTATGGGTGGTCCCGGGGATCGAACCCACTACCTTGGCGTTACAAGCGCCGTGCTCTACCAGCTGAGCTACAGAGGACCACAGCCATGAAGCGTAGTGCCTGCGCTTGTTATTCTCCTTGCGGCTATGTTGGAACAGGCGTCTCTGACATAGCCGCCGGGCCCGAGGAAGAGTGACTCGCTGATAACATAGACGGTCAAGTCAGTGACTTGACACACACCCAGCTGAGATCACATACCCAGCCAGTAAAAAAAAAAATGGAAGTATATATGGAGATAGTTTAGTGCCTAAAATAAGGGGGTAAAGAAATAAGGTATAGGACAGACACTTCAAATAAACGTCATGGTGATTTATTTTTTTGACTATCTGTTGTTCCATGTAGTGAATCTGTTATTCAATGCGTTTATATTGGCTAATAGCAGTAATGCTAAATTCAATGTTTCATCCAATAATTTGTAAAACAATTTTTTTTTTACCTTAAGGGGTCTTAAAATTCAAAATCAAATAGCTAAACAATCCTTGGTATAACCATCTTAAAACGATATGGCTTTTTCTTTGCAACTCTGCCTAGAAGGTCAGCATCCCAGAGTTGCCTCTTCACTGTTGACGTTGAGACTGGTGTTTTGCGGGTACTATTTAATGAAGCTGCCAGTTGAGGACCTGTGAGGCGCCTGTTTCTCAAACTAGACACTCTAATGTATTTGTCCTCTTGCTCAGTTGTGCACCGGGGCCTCCCACTCCTCTTTCTATTCTGGTTAGAGCCAGTTTGCGCTGTTCTGTGAAGGGAGTAGTACACAGCGTTGTATGAGATCTTCCGTTTCTTGGCAATTTCTCGCATGGAATAGCCTTCATTTCTCAGAACAAGAATAGGCTGAAGAGTTTCAGAAGAAAGTAATTTGTTTCTGGCCATTTTGAGCCTGTAATCAAACCCACAATTGCTGATGCTCCAGATACTCAACTACTAACAAGAAGGCCAGTTAGTTTTATTGCTTCTTTAATCAGCACAACAGTTTTCAGCTGTGCTAACATAATTGCAAAAGGGTTTTCTAACAATCAATTAGCCTTTTTAAATTATAAACTTGGATTAGCAAACACAACGTGCCATTGAAACACAGGACTGATGGTTGCTGATAATGGGCCTCTGTACGCCTATGTAGATATTCCATTAAAAATCAGCCGTTTCCAGCTACAATAGCCATTTACAACATTAACAATGTCTACACTGTATTTCTGATCAATTTTATGTTATTTTAATGGACCAAAAATTGGCTTTTCTTTCGAAAACAAGGACATTTCTAAGTGACCCCAAACTTTTGAACGATAGTGTACATATCTACTTCAATTACCCCTGCACAGCATTCGGAAAGTATTCAAACCACTTTCCTTTTTCCACATTTTGTTATGTTACAGCCTTATTCTAAAATGGATGAAGTACAAATGTTTCCTCATCAATCTACACACAATACCCCATAATGACAAAGCGAAAACAAGTTTGTAGAAATTTTTGCAAATGTATTAAAAATAAAAAAACAGATACCTTACATAAGTATTCAGACCCTTTGCTATGAGACTCAAAATTGAGCTCCGGTGCATCCTGTTTCCATTGATCATCCTTGAGATGTTTCTACAACTTGATTGGAGTCCACCTGTGGTAAATTCAATTGATTGGACATGTTTTGGAAAGGCACATACCTGTCTATATAAGATCCCACAGTTGACAGTGCATGTCAGAGCAAAAACCAAGACATGAGGTCAAAGGAATTGTCAGTAGTGCTCTGAGACAGGATTGTGTCAAGGCACAGATCTGGGGAAGGGTACCAAAAAATGTCTGCAGCATTGAAGGTCCCCAAGAACACAGTGGCCTCCATCATTCTTAAATAGAAGAAGTTTGGAACCACCAAGACTCTTCCTAGAGCTGGCCGCCCAGTCAAACTGAACAATCGGGGGAGAAGGGCCTTGGTCAGGGAGGTGACCAAGAACCCCATGGTCACTGACTGAGCTCCAGAGTTCCTCTGTGGAGATGGGAGAACCTTCCAGAAGGACATTCATTTCTGCAGCACTCCACCAATCAGGCCTTTATGCCAAGCGTCACATCTGGAGGAAACCTGGCACAATCCCTATGGTGAAGCATGTGGTGGCAGCATCATGCTGTGGGGATGTTTTTCAGCGGCAGGGACTGGGAGACTAGTCAGGATCAAGGGAAAGTTGAACGGAGCAAAGTACAGAGAGATCCTTGATGAAAACCTGCTCCAGAGTGCTCAGGACCTCAAACTGGGGCGAAGGTTCACCTTCCAACAGGACAACGACCCTAAGCACAAAGCCAAGACAACGCAGGAGTGGCTTCGGGGCAAGTCTCTGAATGTCCTTGAGTGGCCCAGCCAGAGCCCGGACTTGAACCCGATCGAACATCTCTGGAGAGACCTGAAAATAGCTGTGCAGCGATGCTCCCCATGCAACCTGACAGAGTTTGAGAGGATCTACAGAGAAGAATGGGAGAAACTCCCCAAATACAGGTGTGCCAAGCTTGTAGCGTCCTATTCAAGAAGAGTCGAGGCTGTAATCGCTGCCAAAGGTGCTTCAACAAAGTACTGAGTAAAGGGTCTGAATACTTATGTAAATATGATATTTCTGTTAATAAATGTGCAAAAAAATCTAAAAACCTGTTTTTGCTTTGTCATTCTGAGGCATTGTGTGTAGGTTGATTTTTTTTTGGGGGGGGGGGGGACAATTTAATCAATTTTAGAATAAGGATTTAACGTAACAAAATGTGGAAAAAGTCAAGGGGTCTGAATACTTTCCGAATGCACTGTATAGCCAAGTTATCGTTACTCATTGTGTATTTATTATTACGTGTTATTACTTTTCTATTATTTCTCTATTTTCTTTCTCTCAGCATTGTTGGGAAGGGCCTTATGTAAGCATTTCACTGTTAGTCTACACCTGTTGTTTACGAAGCATGTGACAAATACCATTTTATTTTATTTGACATGTGTTCTCAAACAGTTGGAAATGGAATAGAAAGCAGAAGTATCAGCATATTTTCTGTGAAACATCAGCTAGGTTTCATGAAGGCTATTTCAATTTCCAGCAGTTTTTGAAACCACTGCGCTCACAATAAGTGGTAATAACAGATACTATAGTGGCATCGCCACAAGGTCGTCCAAGACTTCTTAATGATCCAGTGCACAGAATTTAATTCACTTAGATATTTCTGGTTTTTACCTGAGCAATGTTGATTAAGTTAGGTTGTTGAGCTTAAATCAGACATATCAGTCATATTAATGATTTAAGACCGATTTATTTCCTTCCTTCAAGCTTGCCACCTTTGTCCATCACCATTATATCATAACTAGTCTTAATGTGTGCAGTCTGCATATATAATCTCTGGTCATTCAGAGTGTGCTGTAGTAGGACAGCCTGTCAGAATTCGGTATCAGGGAGCGACGAGGAAACGCTTGATCTCATTTACACAGACAGGATCTGTGAATTAGCTATTGGCGCCACACAATAAACTGAGGCCTATCGGAGTTGGCAGTTTGTCTGATGCCTTCCGCACTGCTTCCTGTAAAGTACTGCTAATGTGAAATATTGCCCAATAGCCAGAGTCAGAGAGAGACCGAGAGAAAAGATGCTGTCTGATGAAGGTCATCTGTAGAAATCTGCACATTCTCTATTTTATAACTACATTCTAATGGCTAAATGTTTGTTTATCACTCCCTTCATATAAAAGTGTTAATTGTTCTCATAAAACAGCCTGGTAGCTTGGCAGTGTGCTGTGTTGCGCATGGTGAAGTCCGGTAGATAAGCACAGTGTAAGTTAGCGCTCCTTTCTGTCTCAGAGCCTCGGCGAGGAGGAGGAAAAGGATCGCTGCATTTGGAGCTCATTTTCCATACGGTTGAATAATTCATGAATATTAATTCTGAGGATGTGGTAGTCTTTTGGTGAATATGATGTAAGGAAGGCTGTTGCTCTCTCTCTCCCCAGTGTCTGTTCCCGTCCCCTAACTTCTCTCTCTCTCTCTTATTACCCGCCCGTAACGTTTTCCAGGAGGACTATGACCGCTTGAGGCCTTTGTCGTACCCCATGACTGATGTCTTCCTCATCTGCTTTTCTGTGGTCAACCCTGCTAGTTTCCAGAATGTGAGGGAGGAGTGGGTCACCGAACTGCAGGAGTATGCCCCAAGTGTCCCCTACCTCCTCATAGGCACTCAGGTGAGCCACAGCCACACCACCCATTGCCTGTCTCTATACTTTGTCCTGGCCATTTCAAATGGCAAGTTTCACAGAGAGTACTGTATTCACCTGGCATGTGTTGTCCTCATCCACCCTACTCACGCTCTACTTCACATTGACAGGGGAGGGGGGATTATAAAACTGAACCTCCACTTAAATGTACTGTACTCTCTGGTTTATTTTATTCTTAAGACCATTCACGAACATGCATAAAGAAATATAGGTGTATACTTTCCAAATCATTAGATGGAACTTAATAGTAAGAGAAAATATAACTTTTTTTCTTGACTTTTTCATTTAGTAACTCTCAAATATTTCCGAAAGATCAGTCCACAGACACTTTTCAAACCACACTTATGGGTGTCCCTCCGCCAGCAGTTCCCTGGCCACCAGAAATAGAAAATTGGCATATTGGTGGTGGTGAGTTTAGTGGAGTGGGCCTGTGATTTATCGTTCTGTCAGCTGATATTTACTTCTCTTTTATCAGTCCCACCATAACTCACATTCTCACACAGCATACTTATGTGGACCCAATCAATTCACAGATGGACCAGAGCCACAAATCAAACACAACCACAGATGTGTTAATTAATGTTTGCCTCAATAAAGAGTTTGTTGCACGTATCAGTGGGCATGTGCGGGGTAAAGTAGGGTCATTTTCCCCCCCCTTAATCATATCTCAATTAACTTTTACCAGTTGAATGTAGACACAAATATAAGACTTTTGTATCACCATTTTCCTGAAATAATGTATTAAAATGTGCAAATGAGGCAATACCTAATTAAATGTGTTTAATTACCATTTTATTTCAGTGGGCTATCTCTTTGAAAGCACTCCTAAGATTATTCACAATGATGTTGGGCTGTTCGCTGATAGGGGAAACTTGCTGAAGCTAAGATTTAAAGTTGGCTTTTTCTAAAGAAACAGATCGTGCCTTTCTCTAAGCAGTATGAAGCAGATTATTCAGTCAACCTTTTTATCTGTTCTTGATTATTTATCAAAGTGCAGCTGCTACAACTCTTAAACGTTTGGATGCCATCTACCATAGTGCCCTTTGTTTTGTTACAGGCGACAGTTTTGATACGCATCACTGCATCCTGTATCAAAAGGTTGGCTGGACTTCGCTAAAGACCCGTAGATCTCTACATTACTCCCAATTTGTTTACAAGGCCCTACTTCATAAACTTCCGTCTTATCTAACTTTGCTGTTGAAGTATAGACACCTGAGTTGCCTAATCTGTTCACAGGATTGGTTAACTCTTAAGGTTCGTAGGGTCTCCACTGAGCTAGGTAAATCTGCTTTTAGTTTTAATGCACCGTATTGCTGGAACAAAATTCTAAATACATTTCATGTTCTGGTGCCGTTCGGGCAATTTAAAGTATTGATTGGGGATTTATTTGTGGATGAATGTAACTGTTTTTTTTGGTGTGATTTGTGATGTTTTATTTGTGCTTACCATGACTGTGTTTTTGTATTTGTGTGTGTGTGCGTGCAGTGCATTCGGAAAGTATTCAGACCCCTTGACTTTTTCCACATTTTGTTACGTTACAGCCTTATTCTAAAATTGATTAAATTATATTTTTCCCTCATCAATCTACACACAATACCCCATAATGTCAAAGCAAAAACTTGATAAAAATAAGAAACAGAAATACCTTATTTACATAACTATTCAGACCCTTTGCTATGAAACTCGAAATTGAGCTCAGGTGGGTCTTGTTTCCGTTGAGCATCCTTGAGAGGTTTCTACAGCTTGATTGGAGTCCACCTGTGGTAAATTCAATTGGTTGGACATGATTTGGAAAGGCACACACCTGTCTATATAAGGGAAGGGTACCAAAACATTCCTGCAGCATTGAAGGTCCCCAAGAACACAGTGGCCTACATCATTCTTAAATGGAAGAAGTTTGGAACCACCAAGACTCTTCCTAGAGCTGGCCGCCCAGCCAAAATGAGCAATCTGGGGAGAAGGGCATTGGTCAGGGAGGTGACCAAGAACTCGATGGTCACTCTGACAGAGCTCCAGATTTCCTCTGTGGAGATGGGAGAACCTTTCAGAAGGACAACCATCTCTGCAGTATTCCACTGATCGGGCCTTTATGGTAGAGTGGCCAGGCGGAAGCCACTCCTCAGTAAAAGGCACATTACACCCTGCTTGGAGTTTGCCAAAAGGCACCTAAAGGACTCAGACCATGAGAAACAAGATTCTCTGGTCTGATGAAACCAAGATTGAACTCTTTGGCCTGAATGCCAAGCGGCCCGTCTGGAGGATACCTGGCACCATCTCTACGTTGAAGCATGGTGGTGGCAGCATCATGCTGTGGGGATGTTTTTCAGAGGCAGGGACTGGGAGACTAGTCAGGATCGAGGGAAAGATGAACGGAGAAAAGTACAGAGATCCTTGATGAAAACCTGCTCCAGAGCACTCAGGACCTCAGACTGGGGCGAAGGTTTACCTTCCAACAGGACAACGACCCTAAGCACACAGCCAAGACAACGCAGGATTCGCTTCGGGACAAGTCTCTGAATGTCCTTGAGTGGCCCAGCCAGAGCCCGGACTTGAACCCGATCAAACATCTCTGGAAAGACCTGAAAATAGCTGTGCAGCGACACTCCCCATCCAACCTGACAGAGCTTGAGAGGATTTGCAGAGAAGAATGGGAGAAACTCCCCAAATACAGGTGTGCCAAGCTTGTAGCATCATACCCAAGAAGACTCGAGGCTGTAATCACTGCCAAAGGAGCTTCAACAAAGTACAGAGTAAAGGGTCTGAATACTTATGTAAATGTGATATGTATGTATATATAATTTATATACACTACCGGTCAAAAGTTTTAGAACACCTACTCATTCAAGGGTTTTTCTTTATTTTTACTATTTTCTACATTGTAGAATAGTGAAGACATCAAAACTATGAAATAACACATGGAATCATGTAGTAACCAAAAAGTGTTAAACAAATCAAAATATATTTTATATTTGAGATTCTTCAAAGTAGCCACCCTTTGCCTTGATGACAGCTTTGCATACTCTTGGCATGCTCTCAACCAGCTTCATGACGTAGTCACTTGGAATGCATTTCAATTGACAGGTTTGCCTTCATTACATTTACATTTACGTCATAAAAGTTAATTTGTGGAATTTCTTTCCTTCTTAATGCATTTGAGCCAATCAGTTGTGTTGTGACAAGGTAGGGCTATCTTTTGTATACCCCCCCCTATTTGGTAAAAGACCAAGTACATATTATGGCAAGAATACCTTTTTCATTTTTCTATCTGTGTCACGCCCTGACCTTGAGAGCCTGGTATTCTCTAGTTAGTTTGGTCAGGGTGTGAATGTTGATAGATTCTATGTTATCTATTTCTATGTTGGCCGGGTGTGGTTCCCAATCAGAGGCAGCTGTCGATCGTTGTCTCTGATTGGGGACCATACTTAGGCAGCCATTTCGCCTACCTTTAGTTGTGGGATCTTGTTTCAGTTTGGTTTGTTGGATGTTTAGCCTTTTGAACGTCACGTTGCTTTTGTTGTTTTGTCTGTGTTTATATAATAAACGACTATGTACGCATACCACGCTGCACCTTGGTCCGATCCTTTACTCAACCAACGTGACATCTGTAAAACATATCAGAAATGATCTCTGGCCAAGTCTGGAGAATATATCTAAGGATAACCACACAAAATGTGGTGAATGCAGATGCTTCTGAAGCTGAGAAATTAGTTGGCGTGTCAGAAGTGTCTGACTTTCAGGAAATGGGAGTTAAGGACAAGTACACTGAATTCAGACTACCAACCATCTCTTCAAAGTAAGTTACCAAATATAGTCCAGTTTGTAACATTCTCTATGAAATGGGCTTTTAAATTCTGTAATTTAATGTAGTGAGCTTTTAAAGTGGTTAAAATTTATTAAAATGTAGATGACGGTAGTATGATAAACTAAAGAAATATACATTTTCATCAAGTTTTTGAAATTTGTATGTTTACTTTTTAAACACAGGGGAATTGGGTGTTGCATAACTTTGTTTATGAAATAAATATGTAATTGTTGTGTTATTTGTCCACTTATGTTCCCTTTATCTAATATTAGGTTTTGGTTGAAGATCTGATAACATTCAGTATCACAAATATTCAAAAGTAGAGAAAATTAGAAAGGGGGCAAATACTTTTTCATAGCACTGTATACTAGGCCTAGGGTTTCAAGCTTTGGTTGATTTCAAATGGAATATACAAGTTAAGAAAAAAAGTTAAAGAATATGACTAAATCCAATCAAACTTTATTTAAAGTGCATTTAAAGTTTGATTTAATTTAGTCCTATTCTTTAACAGATTTTTGGTTGAAATGGAGACGTGAATTCAGCACATCAATTATTAATTTGTAGACAAACTGGAATTAAAGCCAGACTTAGTGGCACAGATGGAACTATCTAAGCAGAAGATTAATCTCTTCCAATGTTGATATTTGGTTGTGTTTGCAATACCGTAAATAGCCTACTAACTTGTTAACAAATTATATGTTGGATTCAAGTCTCCATCTCAACCAAAAATAAAAGCTAAAGAATAGGATTAAGCTAGTCGCTCAGATGGAACTATCCAAGCAGTAAATGCATCTCCTTTAAATGTTGATATTTGGTTGTGTTGTTAACCAAACAAAATTCAATATTACTTTTGTAATACAGTAAATAGCCTACATTTAAGGCTCTTACAAACTAATGTAACAGTATTTTTGTAACTTTAAATGAGTAAAACACTATGGACACATTGAGGTTACTGTAACAAATGTATTCTTATGTAATCATAGAAAGCGTGCATGTTCAAAAGTAGCAGGTCTGTGGAGATCTTCACAATTGCGATAATAATCTGTGCAGAATCTCGAACGGCATTGATCAGTTGCACGACATAGTTGAATGATCTCAATTGCAGTAGAGGTCATTTGTTGTGTTAGATGGAGTACAGTGATAACACATTAAGTTGTTGTATAAATACACAAAATATCTGACGTATTCCCTTTTTGAACTTTTTGGTTTTAAATGGCTGAAAGTGAAGCAATAACAATTTTAGGTGAGAACTAAACCAAAAATCAGACATTGAGAATTCGGTTGTGCTTTTAGATGGTTGGAAGGATGGTCATAACACATTGGAAATTTAACAAACTTTTGGCTGTCTTTTTGAGTGGGTGGAAATAGGTTGTAATCTAATTGATCAACGTATTAACTAAATATTACCCAATTATTCACGTTGAAATGACGTGGTGTGCCGAGTGGGTAGTTGAAAGAACAAGTTGTTCACTCAACTGAAGAAGTTGCTTAAGAAGCAGCCTATCTGCTGCCTTTCTGATTTGACTGTGCTGACGGGAATTGTTGTCTCTCCCTGTTTCAGATTGACCTGCGTGATGACCCCAAGACAATTGCCAAACTGAATGACATGAAGGAGAAACCCATCACCACAGAGCAGGGCCAGAAGCTAGCCAAGGGGGTACGTACCACTGTGGGGCCAGGAGGAAGGTTACAGAATGTATTTTGAGTGTGTAGGAGAGACAAGTGGTCTACCTTACTTTACACAGATGGTCTGTCCCTCGTCAAACCAATTCTGTATTAAAATTATGATAAAGCTTGTATATATTCAGTTTTGGGCATTTGTTGATTGAGTCTCACACACAAGACTTCCTCCCCAAGCTAGCTTGGGGACGAGGTTAACCCTTTGTTGATAGTTTTGAGTGACAGCCTGTTCCTCTCCAGATCGGTGCGTGTGTCTACGTGGAATGCTCGGCTCTCACCCAGAAAGGACTGAAAACTGTGTTTGATGAGGCCATTATTGCTATCCTGACCCCCAAGAGGAAGAAGGGAGTCCTGAAGAGCAGACTGGGGCCACGCTATATCAACTGCTGCCTCATCACGTGAGAGAGATGGAAACATCCAAAAACACCTGGGTCATATTTATTAGGGCATGCAATGGAAAACGTTTTAAAACATGTGAAAACAGAAAACAAAAACAAGCATTTCTTATTGGATAAGATCAGGTAGCCCCACCCTGTTTCAGACTGTTTTCTTCCATTTGGTGCCTAATGAATACACCCCTGAATACAAACCAGAACGAATGACCGAGACCGCAGAGAGGTCATAAGAGGGAGAGAGAGAGAGACAGAAGGACCGAAATGGACAAGGACCCTATTTTTAGTTCGGGGCTCTTGAGCGGTTTTGTCTCTCTCCTGCTGTCGACCAATGGAGTTAGGGGGCAGCTTTACAACAAAAGGAGCACAATACCCAAGTCAACAACGCCCTTCAGTAAGACTTTATTTGCCTTTAAAAGTTGTTTGTTTTTAAATGTTTTTAAATATTTTTCCTGTACAAAAACATGCTGTCAGAAAAGGTATCATGGTGTCCATTTAACTCCTGATATGATGTGTATTTTTTGTAATATATGCTGTAGAAATGAATGGGTGGATTGCATTTATTGAAAGCGCTTTCCATCAAGCCTCCAAGAGCTTTACATTGTGTGTTGAGTAACTCACCTCAGCCACTACCAATGAAATACATTGTTTAAAAGAACAGGCTATTCCCCTCAACTATGGGGAGTTATGAGTTGTCTTTGTCTTTTTTCTACTAATCCCATATTTTATGACATTATCTGCTCTTGCTCAGTTTGCGGTGCTTGCAGTATTATTACAAAACATGGACTTGAATTAGTCAGTAACCCAATGGTGGCCAAATAATTGAATGCACACAGCTGCATGGGATACAGGGATGTGGGGAGAGGGACACAAACAGATACTGTATCTCTAGCACACAACATGAAGCACAGTCCACATATCTATCCCTGTCCATTAAAGCACAGTTAAAAGTCAACCTGCCCACCCCTACCCTTAGCACTATCATGCTGACCTGAACATACTGCGTACTATGGTGGATGCAGAAGTTGAACCAGCCCATCCCAATTCAGCTCAGTTTGGCTTGGCTCAGTAGTGTGAAAAGGGTACCTCTCAATTCTGCCATTGAAGCACAGAACATACCATGGTTACAACATCCACCCCCAATGGCTAAGGGGATTAGCACATTAGCACAATAAGCCTCCTCCAACCATATTCCCACCCCCGCCTTTAAGAAGACCCTCTTTATACACATATACCCTCCGTCCCTTCCCCAGCCGGAAGATATTTCTCTTTATTGTAATTTTTTTTGTTTGATTTTTTTTCTATCCATTGTGAAGGTGCTTGCTGACTGCCTGGTCTTACAGTTGTGTTTTTTTAGGTCCGAGTTGGACTTGTTGATTAAAGCTTTAAATAAATGGTGCTCCTCTCTTTCTCGTTGTCTGTCCCAGCCTGCAGTGCTGTTTACCATTTTTCCTAGAAGAGCAGAATGGATTATTGAGTGTTAACATTCTCTCTTTACCAGGAAATTGTTGCACATGCTGATACTGAGGTAAATTGAATGGATCTATAGCAGTGCAGAAACAAATGCAGCTTCCGGTTAATCCTTTCTCTACTCAATAAATGTGTTTACTATCTATTACGTGTTACTAAAGCCTTTCTTTGGGGTCTTCCTTGAGGATGAACTACTAAGAGGATGTGTTACTGGGCATATTTTTCTGTTTGGTTATGTATAGATGTTGTTTTTATAAGTACAGTATTGGGCACAATTGGTTTGGCTCAGTTGCTAGCTAGGCCGTGGTGACCTCATACAGGAGTGTCTTAGAAGTGTGTTATACATGAGTGATTCCTCCCGAAACCCAGAAAAATTTTATTTGGCTAATTGTTTAATATATTTTCAAACATATACTCTACCGGCACATCAAAGTTCCAGAGTGGGATCTCTACTACTTTTAGAGTTATGATCCAATTTGTAAGCATTACCAACATAGTGAATGTGAAAATGGTCACCCTCTGCTGGTAATTTGTAAGATGTGCAATGATACAAGTATTGTAAAAGGAGGGCTGTTATTGTTTACATTGCCTACTATTTCTCTGTAAAAAATGGGCCATAACTTTCAAACTTAGTTGAAGCCCCTTTGGCAGCGATTACAGCCTCGAGTCTTCTTGAGTAGGACGCCTCAAGCTGGGCACACCTGTATTTGGGGAGTTTATCCCATTCTACTCTGCAGATCCTCTCAAGCTCTGTCAGGTTGCATGGGGAGCGTCGCTGCACAGCTATTTTCAGGTCTCTCCAGAGATGTTCGATCGGGTTCAAGTCCGGGCTCTGACTGGGCAACACAAGGACATTCAGAGAGTTGTCCCGAAGCCACTCCTGCATTGTCTTGGCTGTGTGCTTAGGGTTGTTGTCCTGTTGGAAGGTCAACCTTCGCCCCAGTCTGAGGTCCTGAGCGCTCTGGAGCAGGTTTTCATCAAGGATCTCTCTGTACTTTACTCCATTCATCTTACCCTCGATCCTGACTAGTCTCCCATTCCCTGCCGCTGAAAAACATCCCCACAGCATGATGCTGCCACCACCATGCTTCAGGTTTCCTCCAGATGTGACACTTGGCATTCAGGCCAAAGAGTTCAATCTTGGTTTCATCAGACCAGAGAATCTTGTGTCTCATGGTCTGAGAGTCCTTTAGGTGCCTTTTGGCAAACTCCAAGCGGGCTGTCATGTGCCTTTTACTGAGGAGTGGCTTCAGTCTGGCCACACAACCATAAAGGCCTGATTGGTGGAGTGCTGCAGAGATGGTTGTCCTTCCGGAAGATTCTCCTATCTCCACAGACGAACTCTGGACCTCTGTCAGAGGGACCATCGGGTTCTTGGTCACCTTCCTGACCAAGGCCCTTCTCCCCCGATTGCTCAGTTTGGATGGGCGGCCAGCTCTAAGATGAGTCTTGGTGGTTCCAAACTTATCCCATTTAAGAATGATGGATGCCACTGTGTTCTTGGGGACCTTCAATGCTGCTGAAATATTTTGGTACCCTTCCCCAGATCTGTGCCTTGACACAATCCTGTCTTGGAGCTCTATGGACAATTCCTTCAACCTCATGGCTTGGTTTTTGCTCTGACATGCACGGTCAACTGTGGGACCTTTTTATATAGACAGGTTTGTGCCTTTCCAAATCATGTCCAATCAATTGAATTTACCACAGGTGGACTCCTATCTAGTTGTAGAAACATCTCAAGAATGATAAATGGAAACAGAATGCACCTGAGGTCAATTTTGAGTCTCATAGCAAAGGGTCTGAATACTTATGTTAATAAGGTATTTCAGTTTATTTGTAATACATTTGCAAACATTTCTAAAAACCTGTTTTTGCTTTGTCATTATGGGGTATTGTGTGTAGATTGAGGAGAAACAATTATTTCATACATTTTAGAATAAGGTTGTAACACAACAAAATTTGGAGAAGGGGTCTGAATACTTTCCGAATGCACTGTACATCAACACCGACATGAGTAGAGACCTCTACAAGAAACAGGCCTATTCTGCACAACTACGGGTGAAATGGAAGGAAGGACTCATCACACTGAAATCAGCAAATTAAGCTACCTGATTCTTGGATAACCTGGACAAGGGGAACTGTAGAAATGGCATTGAACGAAATGTATAGACTACAGGACAGCCTCTCAACAGACGATGTACGACAGATGGGGCACTGTACTATTGAACTGTTTAGGCTACTGAAATGAGGTGAATGATGGACTATTATACACCACCACATCAAAGACACAAAAGAGAAAGGTATGTGTTGTTAATGCCTTCCCTCACACGCCTATTGAAAATTACAGCACCACTCAGGCGATCTGTCTAAATGAATAACACTTTAATAACTATTGGATATGTAGCCTAAATGACAACCCATTCATTGGTTGCTATAGCCATGATCTATTTGTTTAAGTAACGAACTGACAAGTGAACAAGACAACATGATGATTGCTATGATCTGGATAATTACTTTTGAATGCAATCCAGCCGATAGGCTATAAATACATCAAATCAAATGTTATTGGCCACATGCGCCGAATACAACAGGTGTAGACATTACAGTGAAATGCTTACTTACAAGCCCTTAACCAACAATGCGGTTTTTAAGATTAAAAAAAGCAAATAATTAAAGAGCAGCAGTAAAATAAAAAGAACAGTCGGGAGGTTATAAACGGGGTACCGGTACAGAGTCAATGTGCGGGGGCACCGGTTAGTCGAGGTAATTGAGGTAGTATGTACATGTGGGTAGAGTTAAAGTGACTATGCATAAATAATAAACAGAGTAGCATCAGTGTAAAAGAGGTGGTTTGGGTGGGGGGCAATGCAAATAGTCTGGGTAGCCATGATTAGCTGTTCAGGAGTCTTATGGCTTGGGGGTAGAAGCTGTTAAGAAGCGGAGTCTTTGATAATTTTTAGGGCCTTCCTCTGACACCGCCTGGTATAGCGGTCTTGGATGGCAGGAATCTTGGCCCCAGTGATGTACTGGGCCGTACGCACTACCGACTGTAGTGCCTTGCGGTCGGAGGCCGAGCAGTTGCCATACCAGGCGGTGATGCAACCAGTCAGGCTGCTCTCGATGGTGCAGCTGTATAACTTTTTGAAGATCTGAGGACCCATGCCAAATCTTTTCAGTCTCCTGAGGGGGAATAGGCTTTGTCGTGCCCTCTTCACGACTGTCTTGGTGTGTTTGGACCATGATAGTTTGTTGGTGATGTGGACACCAAGGAACTTGAAGCTCTCAACCTGTTCCACTACAGCCCCGTCGATGAGAATGGGGGCATGCTCAGTCCTCTTTTCTTTCCTGTAGTCCACAATCATCTCCTTTGTCTTGATCACATTGAGGGAGAGGTTGTTATCCTGGCACCACATGGCCAGGTCTCTGACATCCTCCCTATAGGCTGTCTCATCATTGTCGGTGATCAGGCCTACCACTGTTGTGTCG